GGCCAGCATGCTCATGGCAAGGAGAGGTAAACTTGGCATGATAGTGGATGCCAAGATGGTACATTCCATTTCTGAAGTTGTACAGGCATTTAACATTCCTTGATCAAGGGTATCACGTGTGTACCAGGAATACGTCCTGGAAGGCATTACCACCCACGGTGGACAGTGCAGTGGTCGTCCCTAGGTGCTTAATGATCTGACCAGCGGCATCTGGTTAGAATTGTCCATGAAGACAAGCTACTCTGGCAGAAATCGCATCCACATTCAATGCTGTAGGCCCCACACGCGTATCCCACATGTCAGTGCAGCGTTCTGTAGCTTCCATGAGAGCAGAAGACCCACCAAAGTGCCTCTATTAACACCATGACACCGAAACAACACCTCACCTGGGCTTGTGAGGTTGTGAACTGAACTCTAGAGGACTGGCAACATGTGGTCTGATGAGTCACGGTACCAGTTGTTTCGGGCTAATGGTAGGGTTCGTGTGCGGTGCAGACCTCATAAAGACATGGACCCCAGTTTTCAACAAGGCACTGTGCAGGCTGGTGTTTCCATACTGGTGTAGAGTGTGTTCTCATGGCATGGGTTGAGGGATGAGTCCACTGGTCTGCTTAAATGCGTTATTGACCGAAGACCACTATGTTTTACTGCTTAACCATTTGCAGCCCTTCATGGACTTCATGTATCTGTATATTCCAGCAGGATGGACCGTACCATCGGACACTGCAACATACTAAATCCTGTCCCATGACTTTTGGCACGTCAGTGTAGGTGCACCTTGTAGCTATACAGTTACAGACTGTAGCTCTCCTCTATCCCATTGATAAATAGAAAAGGACCACCACTTACCAGATATTATTTGGGTGGTGAAGCATTCTCAGCACAACTGCAACACTGATATGGTAGTGTGTGATGCTTATATGAGTGGTGACACAGCGGTGTTACTGGAGTTTTTACTCACCTTAATGTCACTGCTGGGCAAAGGATGGTCTGCAGACCAAAAATCTTTAACAAACAGTGGTCCTGTGGTCAGTTCCTGAAGGGCTAGAAAGTAGCTGAGATAAATGGTGCATGGAAAAACATGAACTACAGTCTCTTATTGTACACTTACAAAGTGCACCAGAAAGGTAGATGGCAACATGCATTACCCTGTCAGTGTCACTGCTGGGTGCTGAGAATAGTCTTTCACCCTAAAAAATAGTTGATCAGTATTGGTCTTAAGGTGATCTCTTTTGATGAACTGACGAAAAATCGTGCATCAATAGGTGGACTACAGTTAGTAACTGTTCAACTATAATTTGTAGGTTAACCTGATTAAATGTCCAGTGAGTATTTTGTGTGGTGTTACTGTTATTTTGTACCATATGCATAGTCTTTTTTTCACTGTAAGGACCAATAATTTTGAGCATATAGAGTAACCGTGGCATTTTAGCTCTATGGGCATAGGAAGCTTGCAAATTGCGCTCAGCACAGTGTTTCAGCACGGTAACTTAGCCCTGGCCAGAGCAGCAGAACCATAAGGGAGAATAGCTTCTGACTGGCTGTACATTTGAGTCACTTTTGTGCACCTCGTCTGTGTTCCTTGAAGTGAAAAATGGTCCAAAAAACATTACACACTACTGCAAACCCACTGTCATCACTGTACTTTTTCTTCTGTACTTCCTTAGTCCTTCCTATAGGCTGCTCAAATTACTCATAGTGTGGACTGCTTTTTTTAGCAAAAAAAAAATAAAATAAAACATTAAATATTTTTAAAATAATAAATAATTTACATACATGAAACATATGTAAATTATTTAATTGATGTAACTGCTATTTATGCCTTTAAGGTATAACCAGTGTCCAAAAGTCTGATTCAGTTAATTCCACTTTACAGGCAATAGTTAATTCTTGTTTTGATCATTAGGATAAAACGACTGACTCAGGATTGAAAGTTATCCAAATATAATTCAAGAGTGTCAGGCTGACTATATTACTATGTAATATTAAATAAAAACATCACATTTAATAGTAATCACTATGCAGCATTTTTGTTTGTTTTTTGTTTTTTTCTAAACATGAATTCTAATTCATTCTAGGCATTGATTAAAACATCAGTGATTGTCAATATTCCTATTTAATGCTTTCTTAGTTTCATCATAAGATTGTAAACAGTGCAAAATATGCCTAAAACTATTTAATAATGTTCCTAGAATCTTATTAATATCTTAATAATCTCATTTTTAAAGGTCTAGAAGCACCTTTTCTGACATAAACTGTATTCTGCCCTTCTGAGTGACAGTTTACCAGACTCTGATTAAGACTAAGACTATAGTAAAATATACTATAATTTAGTACAAATACTATTCTGTGTCTAAAGACTATTCCAAGGCTTATTCCACATCCTTGTTTAAGACATGTTCAACAGAAAGTGTGCATTATGTAGGCCTAACAACTTGTTCGTTTCCATAAAGGAAAGAAGGGAATTCCTTGCTCTTCTTGGTAAGTCCTTGTAAACCTTTTCGTTGTTTTCCTGCCCTTGTGAAACTTGATTTATGGTGATTGTGTAAAGGGTTTTCTTATGCAAATTAGTTGTAAACATATTGCTAATTTGCTATGTTTAAATGCACACAATGCCCCAAGTTTTCATTTAGTCTAAGGGCGCTTTTAAACTTTCTGTAAAGGGTCAGCCTGTGTTGCCGGCTGCCAGCAGAGGGCGACGGCAGCGAGACATTGTTACTTTGGGAGACTCAAAATCCCAGAATACCAAGGGGTTATCAGTGCCAACCAGGCGCACCTGTTGGTTCCGGCATTTAAGGCTGTGGCAGACAGCACATCCTTGTCCCACCTTTGCAGAGGGGTGGAGCTACAAACTACACCTATATGGAAAGTGGACCTGATATACATATATATATATATATATATATATATATATATATATATATATATATATATATAGGCTTTGATTGGCTGACATTACTGCTCTTGAGCGTTGATTGGTTGGTGAGTGGAGCAACTTAATGGCTGAGTGAAGCGGTTTGCGCTCTTTGACATGAATAAACATGGGACAACATTGCAAAGTTCTATAACTGGAATTAATGACCAGTCGAAAAATAACAGTGTTAAAATTTGTTATTCTGTACTGTATTCAGGAAATTAATGCATTTTCTATATAAAATGTTTAAGCACTTACAAACTATGATTTTGCTCAAACGTTCTGTATTAACTCATACATTTTGGGCTGGCTCAGGAGTGCCCTCTAGTGTTTGACAAATCCGGTACACAATACTGAGTGGAAGTTCTCCTCTCTACACGTTCTCTGGTCGTATTTCATTGTGTGAGAGATTTGTTGGCAAAAGAGGTGTAGTTCAGTAGGCTATGTATTCATCCTACAGCAGATTATCCTCCTCTTCACACTGAAGTCAACCTAGACTCACAATACGTAGACTCATAATAACAAAGATTTTTATATCAGTCTTGTGCCCAGTCAAAATCCAAAAGGCTCAATTATCCAATGAGTAAAAGACAAAATACTCAGCTATGGCACAGATACTTCTGGATTCAGATTAGTAACCTCAGAGTTGTAGCATGCTGCCTTGTGGAAAAATGCTCTTAAAGCCAAAGATTAAGAGACCCTTATTAGTCCCACAATGAGGAAATTTCACCTCCGCATTTTAGCCATCTGTGCAGTGAAACACCACATACACGCTAGTGAACACACACACACTAGGGCAGTGAGCACACTTGCCTGGAGTGGTGGGCAGCCCTACCCATGGTGCCCGGGGAGCAGTTGCGGGTTAGATGCCTTGCTCGAGGGCACTTCAGTCACGTACTTTCGGCTCAGGGGATCGAATCGGCAACCTTACGGTCACAAGGCTGGTTCCCTAACCTCCAGCCCACGACTGCCCCCAGAAACGAGGGGTTGGGAAATGGGCATGTAAAAGTGAATTACAACTGTTTGGTACACAGGACCACAAGTCATAGGCTAAAAATCTGGATATGGCACCTTTTAAAACTTATCTACCTGAGTGGTTTTGCTTTGTACATAATGGTGCTCTTTGATCACAATGCTACAATGTTTTATAATGTTACATGGGCTATTATTTAAATTATTTGCCAATGTATCAAGTATACATTTTAGACATTCTAATGGAAAAAAAATTCCAATAATCAGTGTATGGTGACTCGTTCTTCTTTACTGTAAGTTAGCTGAACAAAGCTGTTCTTCTTTGATGTAGTTCAACAAAACTGGGCAAAATACAGCCACACTCATCCTAAACCAGAATAAAAATCGCACCGAGTAGGTTTCGTCCTCCTGTGATCAAATATGTTTTCCACCCATAGGCCTATATGTCACAAAAAAGGAAAATGAATACTAGATAGGATTAAACACAGGGCTGGAGATCAAAACATGAAACTCTGCAGTCTCCAAAGAGGCAACAGAAACAGCAGATTAAACAGGAAAAAAGGCCACAGACACACAGCAAACTGTTTAAATTACAGTTAAGATAGGCATGAATGTAAATGTGACATCACAAGAACGATGAATTCAGAATTCAAAAGCTTTTGCAGCTTAGTTTCCATATACAGACTTGAGAGTGAAAACGACATGTAGAAACTTTAACAACATTTACTAATATTTTACTCTAAAAGGTGGGAAAATGTGTTCTTTTTGTGTGTGTGTGTCAGATGCTCTTTAAGGCAGTCAGGAGATGCAGGGCCCACTCTCATCTGCAAAATTGAAACGTATGTTGCCTATTTGAACAGTAGGCGGCGACATTTCCCTTTATTTGCTTTAACGTGCAGTTTCAGATGCTGTCAGAGGTTTTAATTAGTAAAACACTAGAGAAAACTTAACATGCACTGAATTAAGTTAAGATGACACATTTCCCTTTACTTATACCTCACTGAATATACACCCGTGTACTTATACATGTGCTAAATCATCCCATCGTTTCTGTTGTCTGGAGTCAGAGCAGTAGGAGGTTTTGTGTCAGGGGTTTATAAAGTGGGGTCCGGGTTCCACAGTTTTGTTTCAGTAGAAAATGAGCTCATTATCCTGCGCTGATGAACTGCGAGCTAATGATGATGCAGATGAGTGCGCGAGCCGCTGGTCTCCTCACCGTGGCTCTAATTGGCTGCCACGGCAGTGAGGTCATCACAACAAGCTGCATGGTGTTTTCTCACTTTATGTTCTCAGGGTCCCGAAAAGCGCCGAGGAGATGCTAACGGGTCGACCCCACAGCTGCTGTTCTCACTCTCACAAAACATTCGCGTCGCATCGTTTCTCGAAGTTCACAGTTTTAGCCGAGTTCGTCGAAATCAGTGGAAATAATCTTTGCGTTTGATGTCCAGAGCGCCTCCTGTCAGGAAGCCGCTCTCCCACAAACTTTCAGCCAAGTGCAGCGCTTCTCACAGCGGATCCATGAGTTTGGAGCGGTCGAGTACTTCAGCGTAGAACCGGTGAGGCTGGACTGTTTTTCCCTTTTCTTTCTTTTGAACCGTTTAAAGACCATTTTGAAGGTACATTTTTGGCATTTTAAGTGTAAAAAAAACGTATTAATTTGCTTTAAAAATAAAGACATCATAAATTCTTAATTTTGGTAGAGGGAGTTCAGAACCATGGGTTCTACATGGAATCATTTCATGCTGAAATGGTTCTTTGTATGGTGAAATGTTTTTTCAGACTGATGGAGAATGTGTTGTGTATGGTTCTATATAGCACCAAAAAAGTTCTTCTATTCTGTACTTGGCTTGACATTGTAACAATAGCAGAACACTTTTTGGTGCTATGTAGAACCATTGTCAAAAAAGGTTCTATACAGAACCATATAAATACATTCTCCATCAATCTGAAGAACAATTGAACCATGCAAAGAACAAATACAGTATTGCAGGAGTATTATACAAGGGTAAATATTGTAGAGTATTATAGAAGCACTATGGAAGTTTTATATAGTATCCTATATGCACTATAAATAGTTTCTTACAGTATTATTGCACTCATTGGCATGATTATTGTGAATAATATTATATGAATAATTAATCTGAATTAGCATTAAAGTAATGGTTGAGAGAAAAATCACCCAAATCTTTTCCATTTGTGCCAAATTCCAGCACTCAGCTACACCTAAACAAGTTTTTCTTCATTTTGATAGTCCACAGTAATCATACTGTGTCCTAAACTGCATTGACAAGTCTGCTCGCCCTTAATGAAAACCTAAAACCTGGATGAGGTTTGAGCTGGTTGAGAGAAGTGTTTACAAAAAAAAATTTGGGTGACCAATAACTTCTAGTGTTTGTTAGCAATGTTAACTATGTAGCTCCAGCTTTAAACTATAGAAAAAAATATTGCACACCAAGTATGTCTTTGCTGATCAATTATATCTGGGGTTAAGTGGGAAATAGTGTAAATTACATTTTTCGCCAAACTATTCCTTCATTATTCAAACATGCGAAGCACTTCTGATCTCCAGACTAATGGGGTTGATTTGACTCTTAACTGGCTTTTCAAGAATCCAGTCTTATGTATCAGTGAACTCATGGATTTTACCAGTGGAGCTGTGTTTTTTTCATGTCACCAATTAGTTTCATTAGTTTTCGATAATTTCATTATCCTACTTTGATTGTTCGGTGGTAAAGCAGCTTGTTTACATGCGTAGATTTCCAGTGCATGGTGCTTCTGCAACCTGTCATGGCCCAGATAAAGGGCGCAGATAAAGAATAGAGCTTTAGTGATGAGTTAACAAGAAGAATGTGTACCACATGATTGAATTAAGCCGTGCCAGTCAATTCTGCAGGGCTGAGCTATTTTCATGAAGGAAATCTTGCCAGTGTCCTTGGGGCATGGCGGTGCGGGAGAAGGGCCCCCACTGTGTTGGGCTTTTGTGCCTCTGTGGGTTTCACAGTCATGTGACTGGCTTTGAATGGAGGAGCGGACTCTTTGGCCACAGGGAAAGCTTGCACTGTTTGATTACTCACAGCATGTACTTGTGAGCGTGAGATGTAAAATCCCTGGCAAAAAAAATCAACACACAGTGTTGAGAAATGCACTGTAGATGTGGTGTAGCATGGCCCACCACTGCTTTTGTCTCCTAGGTCATGTGGAGCATCTCTTTAGTTACACTGTAGGACCAAACTGTCCACTTGCCTCAGGACAGGTGTCTAGAACAATCATAATAGAGGACATCCAGTCATAAGTAATACATATGGACATGGTTTTCAAACCACTTGTCTTACAAAGTGCTACAATACGTTGCCTGTTTTTTAGCCTTTATCCACAATGTATGTTCTCTCTGGCCCAGTCAATGCATTTACGATCTGTTCTGAACAGCTGTGCTGGTTTGAGGTCAATGTGTGAAGTTGCCTAGTTTGAGTTTTCTTTAGGTTTTTATGGGTGAAATAACAAAAAGTCAAATTAATTCAGAGGTTTTTGTACCAAGTGTTATTAAGTAAATATTATTATAAATCTATGATAAAGTATGTGTTTTGAAAATGACGTATATGCAATTGCCAAGGACTTACAACTTATTTAAAACAGTAACACTGCAACACTGGAATTCACTCGTGTTCACTGCTTAACTTAATAAGAATGACAGTCTTGAAAGATATCAAGATGTTTGTTGCAAGCACTGACCCTGACCATATTTATATTGTAGTGTGCAGTTTCTTTTTGGGAGTGGCAGGCTACTCCAGCTGGTTGCAATAAAAACAGCATTATTCCCTGTCATAATTAAAGGTCTTGTCATCATGGACCTAGTTTTCAGTTTTCTGGAAGATAAAAATATGCCAGGCTGTTGCAGATGGTTTGGTTTAGATTAGTTCACTTCTTGTTGAAAACAGTGGAATTTTACACAAATCAGTTCTCTCACGATATGAAGCACACACAGTGTGCTTCATATCGTGAGAGTATCATATCATATAGTTATATAATTTACTATCAAAATGGCTACTAAGTTCAAGTTATTTACTTTTGAGGAGATATTTCTGAGATGATTAGATATGAGATAATCACTTGCATAAAGAAGGGGCAAGTCAAAGGAAAATATGGGTCTAAAAGCATGTGTAGCTCTCAAGAAGGTGTTACTGAGAAAAAGAAAATAGACAAAAAAATGAGAAAATTTGGGATTATTTGGATCATGAAAAGCAGAAAATGCAACCAACTTCTAAGACTAAACTTTGGAGGTGTGGAAAAATATGCCTGCACATTTCTCAGAAAAATTAAAGCAAGTCTCTCTCAAAAAACTGAAGCTGTAGTAAAGGCAAAGAGTGAAGCACTGAAAATATATAAATATATATTGTTGCTTTTGGAAAACCTTATATTTCCGTTTTTGCCGATTTTCCTTTTGCACCACATGTCCTTTACACCTTTACACTGTGTCAGAATTTCATAATGAACTCACCAATTAAAATGGTCCAAAATCACTTAGAATGATGCAAGATTTTGTTCTGACAGTTACAGTATATTATAATTACTTCTAAAGGCCTTTTAGAAGTTTCTTACAAATTACTGCTGTTTTACTGACACTAAAAATTAATAACTTATATTTAGTGGATGTTTTGACTGGAAATTAAGTATATGAAGGGTTGAGTTGTGCATAGAAGTACAAATGTTAGTTTTGGCTGCTTGTATCCCCTAAGTGGAAATAAACTTTGGCTGGGGACCAGAACAAAAGTTAGTATTCAAATTGAGTCAGACTTATCCAGTCAGTCAAAGTAAGAGACGTTTAATGTTTCCGTATTTTGTTAATGACTCCTTCAGGCCATTCTTTTACATAAGAGAACCTGAATTAACTCTTTGCCAAACCAGTTTGCACTAGACAAAATGGAAAACATGGTAAAAATATCGTAAAGCAGTTATGGCCCTGCTGGCTGACTGCAAACAGCTGTGAGCACTTTGATTAGTGGGGAATGTAGTGGAGACCCTCTCAAAGTGTATTTGTTTCATTCACACGCAGTTTGGATCTGAAAAAATTGCTCAGATTTTGTTGCCTTTTTTCTATAAAAAGACAGATGTTGTTTGGGAGTGCCCTAAAGGATTGGACAAATGGAGATGTGGCTGACTGACAGGCACACATGCCTGAGTTTACTGGCTTGCTTAGTGAAGAGGGCGGGAAGGCAGCGACCCTACAAAGACACAGAGAGCTTTTGACTGCCCTCACTGATGCTGGCACTGCCCAGAGCTGCCAGAATCCAGTGCTCTGGCCTGGTTTGTTCTTGTACAAAATGAGCCAGGCATCAATTTTAGAGGTTTAATATTTTGTCAGTGTTATGGAGAATAGTTTTAGTTGAGCCTCTAAACCAATCTCTTCCTCCAGTAGTTTCACAGAGAAAATCTGAACGGTTTCCTTTCTGGGCCCACATATTGTGTGTCCCTTGTAGTTGGTAGGATGACTTCCTTGTCCTTGATCCCAAAGCAATGCCTCAGAAACCACAACCTGAACCCACCTACAGGCTCTGCCTTTTCAGGCCCATCCGGAAACACATCTGTGTCTAGCAAAACCTTCTAAGGAGCATGATCAGCTTCTTTATAGGGCTCAGTGTATTCTGAAGAACGTCTTGAGTTTACAACCAGCAGTGAAATCATAGCTGTAAATCGATTTTGATTTAAAACGCAACGAGTAATTGTAAAAGTTACTAGTTCAGCAAGTGTTGGCAGACCTAAAGAGGCACATTATGGGCACATGTGAAGCACTCCAACCTTGTCCAAGACGTTTATTGAAAATAGACTTTGTTATAATGGTGTTTGGCTTTGTACCTTGTTATTGGTATTGGCTAATATAAAACATCACATCTGAGATTTACAAGAAGTGTCAGCCACACTGTTGTGATTATGCTCATCCGGAACCTATTTACTAAGGGAACCACAGCCCATCCTTGGCTTTGTATAGGTATTGCAGGTCCAAATCCAAATTGAAAAAGCCTGGATGTCATCACCCTTGGCTGCTGCCATCACCACATTACATCTCACCACACACAGCAGGATATGTGCATGTGGAAATGAAGGATTCAGCCGCTTCTGTTTCAGCCTAACTTGATATAAATTCGCTTGTAGAGGACTGAATAAAATTAGCTAGAAGTCTTAAGCAGCGACAACTTGATTGTAATAGCATTACAACAAAAACATTGCTGGCAGTAGAGGAAACAACCCCTCTCCTGTGCCCTTGTGCTTGAGTTGGAATGCCACTTGAAATGAAGTGGGTTATAATATATTTCCTTCCCAGGCCTTTTAGAGCTCTTAAGGGTAGGAGACATGTTACGTATGAGTCTAGGAGACACAATGGTCATTTCCTGCCCTCAGACCCATTTGCATTATCCTAAATGCTGTCTGCAGCTTATGCTTGTCTGGAATTCTTTCTCTCTGGGCCTTCACATTTGGTAAAGCCATATCCTCATGGGCATGAAATCTAAGATTGACCTCACAGCAGAAATCATTTCTACATACCGTAATTCAATTACAGCTT